TGCTAACTGATTGCTGTATTTTCCAACCGGCTCTCTGTGTTTCAAAGAGCAGCTTGACTGGGAAAATTTTCTATATCTGCGTGGCTCTCTTGAAAAGTGCCTTTTAAAATATTCTTATCATCTCTTCCAGGAAAGGAAGGGGAAAAGATAAGCGATAATACTAAAGTAATTCGTGATTCATAAAGGGGCAGCTGATTCTCAACATGGCAATCGTGGCTAAGAGCACTCAGTCCTTAACAATGTTAGAAAGAGTATCTTCTATGCTTCAAAGGTCTTTTTTCCTGTCTGCTCCATAGCCTTCCCATCACCTTGCAAGGTCTCTGTAGGTATCTCTTAGCGCCAGGTTGCTTTCCCTAACGGTTCCTGGGATGTGTCAGACCCAAATCAAAGGAGCTTTGAAGCTGGCGCATCAGTGCTGTGGAATTCAAGAGAGTTGTGTGTGCAAAGTGGGGGTGGGGTCAGAAATGGAAATATGAAACATCTGGAAATGCTAGACCTTCCCTAGTTCTTCCCAAAGGACCTTTCCCTTTTTGGTCTCTGCTGAAAGTCAAGATTTTTGGCATTTGCTCCTGCTTGAATAAAGGCCTTGTAGAAGTACTGGAGAACCGCTGTGGTCACCAGATCTTCAGAAGACCCATTCCATCTCTGATTTGTCCATCAACTTTCTAGGGCAACTGGGAACACCAGAACTTCTATCCACAACTGCCTGTCTCAAGAATATCGTCTTCTAGATGGGTTAGATTTCAAATTCCAGAATTCTTAGCTTGGGTGGCCATGCTAGAGATGGAATGAATGGAAATACAACACATTGGGATGGTAAGAGGTGCAGCTTATACAGTATCTTTTAATAACATGGTAAGAAAAGGTGTTGATTTGTCTTCACCACAGACCAGCAAGGTTCTCCTCTTACAATGACCAATTTATGCTAGACTTCATATTTTTGATTTACTCACTATCCTAATTGGCTCTGCAGCCATAGGGACCAGCTTCTTTGGGGCTAATTTCACCATCCCTTTGTACCTGTCCTCTTAGAAATTAATCCCTGGTATGATGGAGTGATAATGAACAAACAGTCACCTAAATTCTCCTCCAGTGTTCATAGTGCATCACAGGAGGTGCAAGTGGAATATGAATTTTTCTAAAGATGGCCTCACTAAGAATTGTGTCCTTCCTTCCTTCCTTCCTTCCTTCCTTCCTTCCTTTCCTTCCTTCCTTCCTTCCTTCCTTCCTTCCTCCCTCCCTCCCTCCCTCCCTCCCTCCCTCCCTCCCTCCCTCCGTCTCCTACTTTAGAAGTTGCTTTGCAGGTAGCAGAAAAGAAAAGGAGAAACACTTTGGGGTGACATTTAAGACCCCCCCTTTCTAAAGAAAGTGTGGGGGAGGGGGAGAGAGGCCAGGGGACATTACAGGTTGCCCTGACGCAGTTTCTCCCCGAATAGCACTTTCTCCATATTTTGCTACTTAATAAGATCTTAGCAAGATCCGCCTCCAATCTTCTCACACAAGGAACCTTTGTTCTTGGCTCTAAAAGAGAGAAGTCACCTCTTGGTTAAGTCCAGAAACGGGGAACCCCAAATGTCGTGTCTGAACCTCCTTCCTCCTTGACGGGTGTGTCCTCTTGGGCAGTTTGTCCATAGTGGCAATCAACTTGTGGCCAGTGGGCAAGGCCATAAAAAAGGAAAGGGAGCAACTCTAAAGTGCTAAAGAGTTACTATAGAATAGAGGTCCCCAACCCCTGGTCCATGGACTGGTACCGGGCCATGGCATGCCACCAACTGGTCCACACAAACAAGCAAAGCCCCATCCATGGGATGCAGGCAGCACACACAACCACGCACTCTCCGGTCCATGGAAAAGCCTTTCTCCATGGAACTGGTCCCTGGTGCCCAAAAGGTTGAAGACCTCTGCTTTAGAACGTTTTCATGCAAGACTGAAGAACAAGGAAAAGAGAAGGGGGAAAAAATAGGCCAACCATGGGATTCCTTATGAAGAGTTCAACTCGAAGGATTTTCCACCCAATCCCTCAGTTGTCTCCAAATGCCTGAAACTGGATGATGTTTCATGTCTGATTTAATGGCAGCCCCACAAGGCAATGGTGAAAGCAGTCAATTACAATATTTAAAAAAATTTTCTTCTGTATGTATTCAAGAAGTGCAAAAAGAGCGAGAGAGCGAGAGAGAGAGAACCCATTTTGGATTAGGCCAGACACTTAGGTCTAACGTTCAAACCATTCAGCCTAGAAGAGACTTCTGGACCAAGAGTGGGTGGACAGCCTTGAGGTGGCCAAAGATCACAATCAATTGGGGGCAGGGGATGAAGACTGAGGATGAGATCCTATCATCCAGCTGGGCAGGAAACATTTTGGAGCGCTTCCATTACAGCATAGGGACTAGAGGCTAAAACATATGAAGAACGGTAGCAGAAATTAGGCATGTCTAGTTTAATGAAAAGGACTAGGGGGTGACATGAGAGTAGTCTTCCAATATTTGAGGAGCTGTCACAGAGTAGAGGGGGGTCCACCTATTCTCCAAAGCACCTGAAGGCAGGACAAGGAGCAACAGATGGAAACTTATCAGAGAGAGAACCAACCTAGAACTAAGGAGAAATTTCCTGACAACAAGAACAGTTAACCAGTGGAACGGCTTGCCTCTAGAAGTTGTGGGTGCTGCATCACTGGAGGTTTTGAAGAAGAGATTGAACAATCACTTGCCTGAAATGGTAGAGGGTCTCCTGCCTGGACTAAGAGACTTCTAAAGTCCCTTCTAACTCTATTATTGTTATTCAGCATCTTTCAACCTCTTGAGAAGGCACCAAATTGGAGAAATGACATTCCAAGAAGCCATGCCATAAATTGCAGAAGTCCATTTCCCAAGCTAGACATGAAAAGAAGGCAGATGTCGCATTTCCACAAGAGATCTTCAATACCTCCAAAGGTATTTTCTCCAAGAGAAAGAAGTGAGCAGAATTGGACTTTCCTCAAAAGATTAGAGAACTTTCCCAGGTGACTTTTGCTCTATAATTTATTCTGTCCTTGGCAGTAAGAATTATTTCATATCCATCACTGTCAGTGGTTGGGTGTTCCTAACCAGTAGTAGCTCTTGGGCTAGCCCTGAGTTGATTGGGGGGGGGGCAGGAGGGGACATCTCTCGTTCCCAGCAACTATCTCCGGCCTTTCCATCTACGTGTTTACAAAGGAGGGGCGGTTCCAAGCCAGAGACTGTCTCATTCCCTCACTGGGGAATGGGAAAGATTGTGTCTTCTCAAGGCTGTTCCTGTGATCTTGGCCAGCTCATCAGACACACTCAGCGAAGAGAAGATAACTCCTCCCCAAAGAGGTTGGGGGAAATGGTCCATGTTGATAAGCAGAGGCCCAAAGTCTCTCTCAAGAGTTTCTCTCTGTTCTCAAGACATAGTCCAGGCCATGTGTTATTTTGCATGGATGTGGCCCCTCCAGGGAGACCTCCAGTGCTTGCAGCTAGATGGGTGGAAGTCCCCTCTCTCTTTAAGGACATTTCTTAACTAGGTGATAAATGGTTTCACGACCCAACTAGCTAACATCATCAGTGCTAGAAGGATGTTTCACGAGCCAACTAGCTAACATCATCAGTGCTAGAAGGGAGTGGGTTTCTCCTAGGCCTTCCAGCACTGAAGATGTTACCAAGTTGGGTCATTAAATGTTTGCAAGAAAACAATTAAGCTCAGAGAGCACTAAGGACCCCCCTCCTCCTCACCCTCCCTACAAACTCCATCCCCTTCTAGCACTGATGATGTTACCTAGTTGGGTTGTGAAACATCTACAAGAAAACGAACAAGCTCAGAGAGCACCAAAGACTCCTCAGTTCAACCCTGAGCTACTACTGGAATATGACAGAAGGAACCAGAAGAAGCTTGCAGATTTGGGGCTGGGCTGAATCAGCCGATTGCCCAACAGTGGTTTATGGTTTCCCCGATTCCCAGAGTCCAGCTCAGCTATCTTGGCTTCTGGTTGTGGTTACTACAACATGTGACTCAAGTTAATTAGGCATATACCTCCAGGCGATTCCCAAGTCTTGTAATCTGCCTGATGTCCCAACTTTTAAGCAGGTCAGGGAGAACACAGACTTGGGAGAAATGCGGGGGATTTTTTTAAAAAAATATTTTTTTTGGCTTGGAAAAGAAAATGAAACTTTTGAAGTCTGGGAGCCCTGCGCAACTGCACGGAAAAAAATGCTGTGATCTGAGCAGATCTGAAAGTTGAAGATGCAATTTGGGAAGAACCCTGGAGGCTGGGGGAGGAGGAGGACCCAGGTGGGATCTCCCTGTCAGCTAGACACATTTTCTCAACAGGGCTGGTGTGGAAAGGGGGAAAAAAAAGCACGAGAACAGGGAAAAATGGGAGGATAAAAAGCATTCAACGTGGAAAGATAAAGACAGTTGCAAACTTCCACAGGGTCTTTGCTGCCAAACTCACTTTTCTGAAGGAAAGCCCCTCCCCACCACACTTCTCCCCCTCTCTCCACGTCTGGAAGTTCCCATTTGATGAGCGAGCAGATGACCAAAAGCCTTTCAATTCCTCTTTTTCCAGCCATTGACTCTCTCCACAAGCTGCATTATGGGGTCAAATCAACCAGGGTGGGTTGCAAAGCCAGGGACTCTCGTTCCAAGGGTGAAGTCGACCCAAGAAACCACGTTTCAGTCCCGGGTGCTTGCAACCAAGCTCTAGGCCTACTTCACAGGGTTGTTGAGAGCATCATCACAGGCAGCAGGAGCAAACGACACCGCCCGGATCCCTTTGGCTGGATGAAAGCTGAGCTGATCAAGGCAGCTTTTTTCCTTACGGGAGAGTAAAAGGCTTCCTCGCACCGGGGGTGGGTGGGAGTGGGGAGGCTCGGTGGGAGGGGAGATTACCCCCCTCCTTCTTCCCTCTGGCTCCCCGCTTCTTGTATGGGATCCCTCTAGTTCCTCTCCTCCCCCTTCCAGGGACCCCGCCAGCCCCCCTCCAGCCCCGGACGGCGCCCCCGCACCTGCTTGAAGTCGGCGGTCAGGGTGACGAGCGTCCCGTCGCTCTTGCGGAGCTCCAGGCTGACGCAGTCGGCGCCGCTGTCCGCCTGCAGGCTCTCCTCCGTCACCCGCCCGTCGGGGAGCCGCACTCGCACCCGCAGCTCCGACGGCGCCCCCGCCGCCCCGCTCAGCCCCAGCAGCAGCCCCAGCCCCAGCAGCCGCAGCCAGCGGAGGAGCGCGGCGGGCAGCCGGCCGTCCCCGCCGGCCCGAGCGGGCATCCCCGGCCGGAGCGCAAAGCGGCTGGACGGCCAGAGACGGGACTCAGCCCCGGGCGCTGCTCCGGCCGCCGCGCGGAAAAACTTTCCCGAAGTTTGCTGGCTGCGCGGCGCGAGGGAGAGTGGGGGGGGGAGGAGAGCGTCTGCCGGCTGGGCTGGGCGGGAGGGCGGACCGCTCTGGGGACCCGCCCGGCCGGCGGAGGGAGACCCGCCTCCTCGGCGGCTCGCAGCTGCGGGGCTCCGCCGACCCCTGTCCGGACCCCTCTCGGGGCGCCCCCGGCCGCGCTCGCCGCCTGGCCCCGCGCCGCCCCGTCACTTCCTTCGCTCTCGCGGCCCCGCTACCCGCGAGGAGCAGCCTTAAAGCGGCAGGCGCCCCCCTCCCCCCCGGCTGGGCCGGAGAGGGGCTGCGAAGGGGGACGGGAGGGGGCCCGGCTGGAGAATACCCGCCCTCGCCGCCGGGGAGGAGGGAGGGGAGTTGGGAGGGGAGGGGAGGGGAGGCCGGCTTCCCACGTGGCGCTTAGCCTGCCTAGAGTTTCGGGGGGGGGGGTTGCGCGAGGGCTGGGTTGCTCTGCGTCGCGGCTCTGTCGTGCGAACGCACACTGCGAGGCTGGGAAGGGTGGGGAAGGCTTGAGGGTCGTGTGAACGTCAGATAATCTGGAAGCGAGCAAAGGGGGGAGAATAGAGCGTGGACGCCCCTGTTTCTAGGGAGGAACAAGAGAGCCCTTTCTTCTGTAATTTAAACCATCTCCTGAGGCCGCTCCCTTCTTCAGCGAGAAATGAGAGTCCCGCTTCGTAGCCGGAAGCAAACGGGGCCTGGTCCAGTTGTTCCTCCACGTGTGCTCCAAATAAGAAACAGAAGTTGACAAACTTCAACCGGGGAGAGGTTTTGCTCCGAAAAAGAGGGGCAGCTGAACTGGGAGAAGCCTGGCAGAATTGTCCACAATCTGGACGGTGGCGGATGCTCCATTGTGAAGCTGGTGGTCTGTCCTGGAGACCCAGCAGAAGAGAATATTTGTCGCTGGGGTTTGAACTGTGGGGTGCTTGGTGGGCTCTGAGCTTGGTGGCTTTCTTGCAGGTGTTTCATGTTCCAACTAGGTAACATCATCAGTGCTAGGAGGAAGTGGGGTTTGCTCTCAGTTTATGTACAAGTGGCTTTTCCTGTTGGTGGGAATGCTGGTTTCTTATGGAGTCCTCTCTGAGCTGGATTGTTTTCTTGCAGTCGTTTCATTACCCAACTAGGTAACATCATCAGAGTAAGAAAGGAGGGGCTTCCAGCTTCAGATTTGGCTGGCTGCTTCCAAGAAGTGCTTGAGGGACAAATCCTGCTTTCTGCAGAGAACAGAAAGAGGGAGGCTCCTGGGAGCCAAAACACCTTATTCCTTGGAAACCTTTTCAAGCTTGGTTAGCATTGATAGAAGGTTTGATAATATTCCTCACCAGCAGGATGCTGGTTGGCTGATGGGCTCTGCTGCCCTTGACCATCCTGATGGCCTTAATCCATGGGTCTTCAAACTTGGCCCTTTTATGACTTGCGGGCTTCAACTCCCAGAATTCCTCAACCAGCGTGCCTGGCTGAGGAATTCTGGCAGTTGAAGTCCACAAGTCTCATAAAAGGGCCAAGTTTGAAGACCCCTGCCTTAATCTCACTTTTTTGTGCTGGGCTGAGATTTTCCATCCCTCTCCTGCTCATCTTTGATGTTGTTCCAAGGAAGTTTTTTGTTTTTGTTTTTTTTTTTAAAAAAAGGAGGAACCCCAAAAACCATCAGGTCACAGGAGAAGCCAAGCCTTTTTCTTAGGAATGTGTTTCTTCTCCAAAAAGGAAGTTTTGTGGGGATTGGAAGCCAATTGCAAGAGAGCTGTGGATCAGTGGCAGAGCACGTACTGCAGGATCTCAGCAGGACCTTTGTTCTGAGAAGAACAATCCACAGGCCAGATTGTCAATGTACAGAGACCCTCGGCTTTGAGAAGGAGGATCCCAACCAGATGCTTTTCTTTGGGCATCCCAACTCACAAAGTTTCCTTATGCACACAATTGTCAAAATAATAAGCCCAGAGTCAAGTTCTCTGATTTAATTGGCTTTGTGTTTTAAAGGGTCTGTTCACTTAGACCAGGGGTCTTCAAAGCATCTGAAGGAAGGACAAGAAGCAACGGGTGGAAACTAATCAAGGAGAGAAGCAACCTTGAGGATTAAGGAGAAACTTCCTGACAATGATGACTATTAACCAATGGAACTGCTTGCCTTCAGAAGTTGAAGGTGGTTCATCATCAGAGATTTTTAAGAAGAGATGACAGCCACTTGTCTGCAATGGCAGAGGGTCTCCTGGCTTGAGCAAGGGGTTGGACTAGAAGACCTCCAAGGTCCCTCCCAACTTGGCAATGTTAAGACTTGTGGACTTTCAGCTCCCAGAATTCCTCAGCCAGCCAAGCTGAGAGGTCAATTCCCCATGCTGGCTGGGGAATTCTGGGAGCTGAAAGTCCACAAGTCTTCAAGTTGCCAAGTTTGGTCTACGTGAACAGTGTTGAAGTCCCCAAGTCTTAAACCTTGGCTATCCCGACTTAGACGACCAGATCCAGTCTGAAGTTGAGATCAATCTGCATTGAAAGACGGTTGTAGCTTGAATATTTCTGGACCGTGAGGGTCTGAATCATCTCAGGGGCATCCTAGAAGGGGGTGAGGGGACAATGCAAAGTTTCTCCTTCTTGATGGAGTCACCAGGTTTGGTGGATGTCAACCTTCCCTAAAAGTGGAAAAGATCTGTGAGCATTGCCTGCAGAAAAATAATTACATCTTGGAGAAGGCGGAAGTTAAGGAAGAAATACCCAGGAGAGGAAGGTTTTGGCCTCAATCTGATCCCTATTCCCACCCCCATGTAGACTGAAATTAATGAAACATGAGTTTGGAGTCTACTAATTAATAAAAAGTGCTCTGGGCCAACTCAGGTTTGATCCTCCTCTCCCAGAGCAGAAAATGCCAAGTTTTCCCTCTGAATTCCTGCTGATTTCCTAGATTCAGCTGGCTTCGTGAGTGACACCCCCAACCGAACACCCCACTCTCTTCTCCCTCTGAATGGTATCCTTGGAGACCTTATCAGCAGAGTATGTGCCTGGATGATTAAAACCAGACTTGAGAATTTCTCCTGCAGTGCTTTTCCCATGGTCTTCCCAGCAGGCCACCTACGGATAGCACAGGGCGTCCCACGGCTGCTGTGCTGGAGAACATCTGGCCCAGAATCTCCTTGCTGTATTATGTTTGGGGGGAGTCCCCAGCTCAACATCTGGATCCAACTAGCAGCAGCCCACGAGGTTGACTGTGACCGGAGAGGAGGGGGTTTCTTTCCTCAGTCCTTGCAAATGTCTTTCCAGCTTCTAGGAGACCAAGATGGATTGTGTGGCAGATGCTTTCATAGCTGCCAGGGAGGGCAAAAAAACATCCAAAATTTTTGTCATCTAAAATACAGAAGACACGCAATAGAGAAACAGTGTATTTTACTCTATTCGAGCCAGTTGGAAGCTCTCTGGAGAGTTGCACATCACACATTTATGACCGGTTGGTGGGCTGTGAAGAGGATGCTTTGGGCCGCAATGGTAATTTTGAATGCCACCATCCATGAATTTAGCCAGTTTGGTCTAGTTAAGGCACCAGGGGATGGCGAGTTCTAGTATCACTTTAGCCAAGAAAGCCAGCTGGGTGACTTTGGGCCAATCACCAGGAGACGGTGAGTTCTAATGCTGCCTTAGGCATGAAAGCCAACTGGGTGACTGGGTCAATCACCAGGGGATGGTGAGTTCTAGTCCCACCTTAGGCACAAAAACCTAAGGTGGAAAAACCAGCAGGGTGACTTTGGGCCAATCATTGCTGCCATGGGAGGTGGGGGTGAGGCTTTTAATGTTTTTTTAATATAGTGGATTATAATTATAATATATTTTTAATGTTGTAAGCCACACAGAGGCCCCTATGGGTGAGTTGGGCAGCTCTATAAATTGGCTTAATAAAATAAATAAATGGTGTTTACAGCGAACACTAGTTTTGGAACTGGAGAGATCCACTGTAACAATGAAAGGATCCAGTGAACAGTGCTTAGAAGAGCCGACCGGTCCTCGGAAGTCAGGCACACCCGGAGTGCTGAATCAACCTTCAGAAGTGGGGGAACCATCCCTAAAATCTGAGAACAGAGTAGCCAGTGTCTGCTGGTCTGAATTTAAGTGGTAGCTTTAGTTCTTCCAGCAAATTGTTTCACTAGTCAGTCTTTATTTTTTGTAATCATGGGGGGCAAACTTCCACCCTCCCTTTTTAGTGGGATTGATGAAGATTCAGTGGTGGGCTGTTGCGCCTCCCAGATGAACCTTGGCATTAGATTAGACCAGGGGTAGTCAACCTTGGCTCTTTTATGACTCGTGGACTTCAACTCCCAGAATTCCTGAGCCAGCTAAGCTGGCTCAGGAATTCTGGGAATTGAAGTCCACGAGTCATAAAAGAGCCAAGGTTGACTACCCCTGGATTAGACGCTGGTGCCAAAACGGGCAATCTGCAAATCATGAGCTGGTAGCCAAGACCGAGCCAGGGTGTCAACCTCCATTATAAGCCTTTTCTGCCAACTCAGGAGAGATTATGGCTTCTTAATGAGGGCAATGGATGCATTTCTCTTCTTGATCCCAGGCTGCTGCAACGCCTCACTGCTCCGCTCTCTGGAAAAGGGCTTTGCAACAAGCAACAAGTTGGAGGTTTGCAGGCTGCTGGGTTGGCTTGTGGGCCTCCGGTTAGAAAGAGCAGTTTAAATGTTTCTAAATCGTTTTCCCTGGGAGAATTCTGGGAGGTCTTTGGGCGTCTTTGGGTCCACAAGGGCAAAATAAACTGGAGATGAACTGGCTCAAAGGTGAGACTTCGTAAGAGTTGCGTATAGTTGCCTTGATGTTCGTGTAACCGGGAAAATCCATTATGTCAGAGATTTTGTTCGTAAACATACTTAACTCGGCTGCTAAGCTGCCCCCCTTTTTTTCCTGG